GTACTATTAACCTTGGCTTGTGTTATAGAAAATCTAAAGATTACAAGCTAGTAGGCGACTGTGATGCTGAATATGCTAGAGATAGACTTGAGAGGAAAAGCACTTCTAGAAGTTGTCAGTTTCTGGGAGATAACCTGATCTCATGGTCCAGTAAAAGGAAATCAACAATAGCACTATCAACTATAGAAGATGAATACATTGCAGCCTCTGGATGCAACACTCAGATACTCTAGATGAAAAATCAACTAGAATATTTTTCAGATATATGAGAGTAACTTTCTTATACTCTGTGATAATACTTCTGCCATTTGTTTACCTAAGAATCCCATTTTGCATTCTTGAGCCAAACATATTGAGATAATATATCACTTTATACGTGACTATGTTTAGAAGGGTATTTTAGATCTAAAATTTATTGATATAGACCATCAATGGGTTGATATCTTTACAAAGCCCCTTGCTGAAAGTTGATTCGTTTTCATTCTGAAAATTTTGAAAATAAAATTATGTCTAGAATAAATCTGATGATTATCTCAGAATGTCAATCTCTTAGAATGGTAAAATCAGACTCTGAGATTTGTTTTGGTTCTAAATGTATGATTCTTCTGAAGTGAGAAAGTTCCATAAGTTCAAAGGTATTTAGTTGGAATTTTTTTGGTTAAACAAATATATTTTCTGGATACTAATTTTTTTTCATTAAATAGCTTTCAATTAATGTTGTAAAACGGAATAGTTTTAAAGATAATTGTCTTAGAAAACTAAACTGATTTCTAATGTCTGTATGACACATTGGATTTAATCATTAATCTTGGGATTTGGTTAAATAGTTTCGCCTTACTCCTCTTTGTCAATTTTGTGCTAATTGCCTTAATTATCATTATTATTATTATTATTATTATTTATCTTTGTCATGATTACAAAATTCGTTATTTAAACCCACCACACTCACTTCACACACCTATGCAACTATTCACTCCTCACACTTTCTTGTTTTCAAACCAAAAAAGTTATCAAACCCTAAAACCTCTCTCTCTCTCTCTCTCTCTCTCTCTCTCTCTCTCTCTCTCTCTCTCTCTCTCTCTCTCTCTCTCTCTCTCTCTCTCTCTCTCTCTCTCTCTCTCTCTCTCTCTCTCTCTACATGAATGGCTTCACAATAACAACAACAACAATTGTCTACTTCACAACCACAACAACAAGAACATCAAACTCTTCAGCAACATCCACATGTCATTACTGAAGATCTTCAAAATGCAGCGTTCCAAAGGGTTGTTCATAGATCTGCCTCGTCACAACCTCCTAAATACATTTCACATCTTCTCCAATCTCACAGGACAACATCTACTATGCATCCTAACAGGTTTATGTATTCTAAAGATGCATATAACACTCCCGAAGTCACACTTGCTACACCTGAAGAAGACTTGGAAGTTCTCCACGAACTTATGGTTGACTTTGAAAGTTTAAAGCCTCATGGATTCGACCTTCTACCTGCTATTCAAACTCAAGGATGGGACAGATATTTTGGTCGTCTTCAAGGACATGTCTTCCTAGTTCTTGTAATAAAATTCTAGATTCATGCCAAGACCTCCTTTACTCAAATAATGTCTTTTATTTTTGGAAAAAAAGATTGTTATAACTGGATATCTCATTGCCAAACTCATTAGTCATGATGATAATAGAGTCAAGTGTGAGATGAGGAGTGAGAGGAGATATGATACTACTGAGGTGCCCAAGGCTATTTCCACCACTGGAAGCCATGCTAGCAAAATTAAGAACCTTAATCCTATTCTGAGGAATTGGGCAAGAATTATTCATGGTTGTTTCAATCCCAGAAAGACAACTAACTCTCTTGACTACATCAACCTTGATCATCAATATATTCTACATTTTATTGCTGCTGATGTGAAAGTGAACCTGTCTTCATTCCTCTTTCGGTTCTTAAGAGATTTTGTAAAGGACTCAAGGAATAGAAGCAGGAAAATGAGATACTAGATTCCTTTTGGCAGACTTATTTCAAATATTTTAATGGAGAGTCATTTGATAGACTCTCTAACAAATGATGAAAAGTCTCAAGGACTGGTATCTTCTGTAGGAAGTTTCCTCAATGCCAAGACTTTAAGTGTTTAAACATTGATAAACTAAATGTAAATTTTAACAACAATAAGCTTCAGATGAAGATAATAAACAAAAATCGTGACAAAATTCATTAAAGTAAAATTCTTTAATTAAAAAATACTTGAAGAATTTAAATGAGTGAATGTTGAATCAAACATTATCTCATAAATTATTTCTCTCTGTAACTCAGGTTCTTCAGTTCTATAGAGAATATATGAAATTTCTGACCTTAATTCCAACAGTGAGATCGATTATATATACTGACATGCTAGTAACCGTCAATAATAACTATCTCCCTATGATTTAATACGTATCCTATTACGCGTGCTTCAGCGCTCTAACTTGCTTCTATGTGTCTTTAACATTGAAAATACTGCAAACCGCTCACTTTGCTGATAAATGTGTTGATAACTGCTCTAAAACCTTTTAACTGCCTCTGTCGAGAGTCTTTGGTCGATTTTTATGATGTTGTTGAGACAACTTTATAACACCTAGTCTATGGACTTAAGGATATCTTAAGTCCCCAACATCTGGTGGACGTGTCCAATTCAACCATTGTCGAAGTGTTGATTTAATTTGTATAAATCCCTTCGACATTTCAGACATGTTTTGAAGGGAAAGTGATCCTAATCTTCTGGATTTGTTCTTAAGACTCTTCCAAACCAGTCTTCGTGGGCATTAAAATACCCTATATCTCAACTCGTTTGATAGGTCAGTCGAACCATCTTAGTCAACATAGTTAATATGTAGTAGCTATATTTGAAGCTTTTAAGGGACACAACATCTCCACCAAAAATCTTAAGACATTGTGTATATGGTTCATATCTCTTATACCACTCACACTTGCAACCAACAGACTCTCTGACAAGTGTGAGTTCTTACATCCTATTACAGGATTTAATACCAATCTAGCCCTTGTTCCCCCTCCAAGCCGAACCATGACTATAATACCACTTGTGCGCAACTACCAACTGAGCTGATATTTCGTTCTCTATTCTTCATGGAGTATAACTCAATGAACGAATATTGAATCATAAAGTTTAACTAAATTATTGTCCCAAAAATTCAAACTCTATTTAAATTCTAAACTATGAAGGTGAGCAAAATACATAATAAAGGGGGTTGAGTTGTGTTTTGTAAAAATAGATTTACTTATGAACCAGAGATCAGAATCTAAAAACTGATTTTAGAATCTGATAAGGTGCAGCAGAAATAAAGACAGAAGTAAAGTAAAAATAACAAAGAACACACAGTAGTTATCCTGCTTCCTCTCCCAAGTACTCTAGTCCCCTTGCCAAGCAATATATTTTCCACTAAAATCAACTAGATAACACTTGCTTACACACACTTGTATAAGACTTTTCTTTTTGCTTAAACCACTTGTTCAAGACTTCCCTTGCTTAGAGTTTGTGTCTAAGACCTCACTCTACTTAATCAGCTCCTGACCGAGACTTCTCTTGCTTAGACCACCTACCTAAGAGTTCACCTTGCTTAGAGCTCGTGCCTAAGACTTTCAATTGCTTAACTAGCCTCTGATTAAGACTTTCCTTTGCTTAGAGCTTGTGTCTAAGACTTTATCTTCCTTAAGCCTACAACAAGAGACTTTAATCTAAACAGATAGATTAGAGAAGCAATAACATACAATAATACTTGATAAAATATCAGAGTTGTTCAAATAATACAACACACTATTACAAAGATTCTCAATTAACACAAGAGTAAGAACTCTTAACAGACTCAGCTTTCTGAAAGTAGTGCGTGCATTTCTTAATTGTATTTGCAGCGTTATTTCTTGGTGATCTTCAAATCTTCAGCTCCTTCTTATAGCTAAGGAAAATAAAAACGTTGGGCTAACAAAATCAAATCTTCCGGTACATCTTCTTTTTCAATAAAGCAAGTGTTGAAACTTACAGTCACAAGAGTATCCATGAAACAAGACCTTTGTCCAGAGGATACAATTCTGATTCAAGTACAACACAACCTGTAGAAGATAATGTCAATAAATCTTGAGTCTCGTGTTAGTAGAACTGACATGACATTACTCGGCTTTAGAGGCAGCATAACACGCTTCTGAGCTGAAGTGTACTAGCAACTGCTTTTCTGATTAGACGTTCTTGAGAGAGCATGACCAGAACCGAACCAAAGTCATTTCAGTGTCAAAACTAGTTCCATCAAATAAATATAATTCTACACACACAAACTGGCTAGTTAGAGATCCTAATTGTTTTATTAAATACTTTGTTATCATCACAACTTTGGATGGCATGAATCAAACTTGTTTCAACAAACTATTTTATACATTTGATCGCATTCACAACCATTAAACATTTTACGAATTAAATAGAGGTAGTTTATTTTTTAAAAATTTATTGAGTAATAAATATATTTAAATTATATACAAATTAGATATAATTTAAAATATAAACCGTCTCTTATAAAAAGAATGATATGTTTTCTTTAATCTTTATTATAAGAAAAAAAATATTTTTTAAATTTATTTAAAAAATTAATATATTAGGTCTATTATATATATCATATACATTTTTAATAATGAATTTGAGAAATATTTTTTTTCATATTATATAATAACAAATATATAATCCACTTAAAAAAGAAAACTAATATGTAAGTAAGTTTTTTTTCTTTCTATTTAAAGCTTTTTACACCACTTGGTCAATCACGAGGAGTTGTAAAATTAAGACGAAAAATAGTTTGGAAAAACAAATTAAGCCCCGAAGAACCATCTTAAGCCTCAAAAAATCAAGACAAAACGTTGAACGTTCAATTCTCAAAACTTGTTGCAACGAATTCCCTTTCTCTTTCTCTCTCTTTCTCTCTTCTCTGATGGCACTGATCTTCTCTTCCCTGTTCTCAATCACCATCCAATGGGGGAGCCAAGATCTTCATCACCCGCCTCAACATCTCAAAATTCTTCAACTTCTTCACCAACAACACCAACAACATCTTCATTACCATCTCCACCTCCACTTCCTACAAACATCTCCCTCATTCAACCCTCTCAAAAACGAAAACACAAACCTAAAGTCGTTCGTGTCTTCCGCTCCGTTTTCCGTTCCTTTCCCATCATAACCCCCGCTTGCAAATTCCCTACAATCACAACAGGACCCAACGACGCCCACCACCACCACCACAAAAACATCGGTGGAAACATCGGGACAAAGGTATCTGGAACGTTATTTGGTCACCGGAAAGGACGCGTCAGTCTCTCCGTTCAAGAGAATCCAAAGTGTTTACCTTCATTGGTTATCGAACTTTCCATGCAAACAAGCGTGTTACAGAAGGAAATGGCGGCAGGAATGGTGAGAATTGCACTAGAATGTGAAAAAAGACAAGAAAAAGACAAGACATTGTTGACTGAAGAACCGTTATGGACAATGTTTTGTAACGGGAAGAAAACGGGTTATGGTGTGAAGAGAGATGCTACGGAAGAGGATCTACATGTTATGGAACTTCTTAAGGCTATAACAATGGGTGCTGGCGTTGTTCCAACGAAAAATGAAGTTGATGATGTTGATGGAAGAGAAATGGCTTATATGAGAGCTTCTTTTGAACATGTAGTTGGTTCTAAGGATTCTGAGACTCTTTATATGTTGAGTCCAGAGGGAAATAATCCCGGGCCTGAACTTTCTATATTTTTTGTGAGGATTTAAGAACTGCTGTTTAATTGAAAGGTGTTGTAAGTTTGATGATGAAGTTTGTTTCATACTTTAGAGGTTTGATGATGAAGTTTGTTTCATACTTTAGAGGTTTGATGATGAGTTGATTAACTAGAATGAGATTATCCAAAACTAGGGTAGTAAAATTTGGTGTGTGTATTGGTGGTGTTATATTTATATATGATTCGATTTTTATCTTGTTTGACGAAGAATTGATGTGTAAATATAATGTTTATGCTTTACCTTGTGTTGCTCATGTTTAACAATTGTCTCATCTTAAGTGATGTCTCTTATAAATATTATTATTAGTCACATAGTTTGTAGCTTGAGATCATAATCAAATTTGAAGACATCTCTCACAAACGTACATCAGTCACACTAAGTCCTTGAACCATTATGCTTCTTTGAAATTATGAAATAAAGGAATCAAATACATTAAGACTAATGAGTTTGAGATTAAAAAAACAATGGTAATCAAACTTTTAAGTTTAAGGAAAACTAATCTACAATTTAAATTATGCAAAGCTACATGTTAATAAGAATAAAGATTAAATAAAAGAATTAAAAAACTGTTTATCCAGTTCAATCCATAAATCATCTCTTATAAATGAGACAATAATTATTTAATCCCCTATCAATAAATAATTTATGCAAAAGATTACAAAAGAGTTATAAAAAATAATTTTGACAAATTTAATATAATATTTTTTAATTTATACTCATTATGAGACTCAATCAACTTTTTAATACATGAATCACTAAAAAAGGATGTTTAAACAATAATATTATAATAATTAATAACTTGATGATCGGACAAAATCTTTAACACAACAAAAATGTGTTTCACTAGGTCCTCAGTGCTACATCCAACGCTGTAATAAGTCCAATCCAAATATGAAATATCTGTTTACTTAAAAAAATAATGCAACAATGTGGGACGAGATACCAATTCCGTTGGATTTTTAGTCTTAACCTTTGAATCACCCTCTACCTTTCTATTTATTTAAGGCATACTTGAATATTCCATCAGGATATCTCACATCCATGGCACACTAATGACAATATTTTGATCACCTCACAAACATTTTAATGATAATTGAGGTGTTTTCAAATCGATAAAAATTCATAAGGATGTCGAAGGTACTCAATACCTCAAATTGAATCTGGGATGTAATAAATACCATATATTATAGGGGCGATAATATGCTATCCCTTATAACCATGTACACCTTAGATCATGTTTAGTATTACAGAATCGTTAACATCCTACTAGTCCTCTTTATATCGAGTTTCGTATTACATGGTCATTAACGTCCTACTAGTCTTTCACATATCGAGTCTCGTATTACGAGATCATCAGTATTCTACTAGTACTTGATATATTTCACACTCTGATTACGAGTTATATATTTGACAACTATAATAATTTGCATAACCACATACGCTATAAATACAATAATATGTTATCACGTGCATCAATGCACACCTGAGATCCTGTATAGCATTACATGATCGTCAATATTTTACTAGTCCTCCTCAGATTAAGTCTAGTATTACATGATTATTGACATCCTACTAGTTATACGCCTTGATAAGTTTCTCATTCTGATTACAGGTTTTACAATTACGAGATGCAGTAAGTGATATTACTCCCCAAGTGTATCCAATTAATTCTATCATCCTTCACATAGACAAATCTTATCTGTTAAATGACCATACACTCTTAATCTTAGTCAACTTAGAAATTAACTTCTATGTTTATACCTACTAAGTTGTTCAACTACCTAGGGTTTTCATGGCATCCTTATTGAACTCACCCTTCCATTATCCAACCACCTCAAAGGGAAATACAACTTAAGAGACGTCATACCTCACCTAACGTATCTCGTTCCACTAATTAATACCTAGTCTAGTTCCTAAGTATATAATGTTCACTTAAAGTTGATCCTAAACATATTTATATATTTGATCACTACATTCCTAATCAAGTGTGACCTTGGTTCTAATCCTACATTTACTTATGTTTAAGATTATAATTGAATTAATTACTTAAGGAAAAACACCATTTGACTCAACAATAACATCCCTGATTCGAATCAAATCATCATTGAATCAAATCACAAGCCTGAAACCCATAAAAATAACATTTTCTCACCCCAAAATTCATCCTTAAGCTACCATTATCAATCCCATCCATTATCCACCATCTAACCATGTTCATACTAGCAATTAACACATAGAATCACAATATTCTATAACATAACCAAACAAAGGGCTAAATCCTAGTATCATTTATCATATAATTCTTCAAAATCATACACTACCACATGCAAGGTTATATAGGCCCAGAATCCACTGCAGTCAGCTATATATGGACCATTAGATCTATTAATTAATGCATCATGACCTTTAATTTATTTTGATTATAAAATAAATAAAAAATGCTTGGAGGAGAGAGATAGAGTAAATTGTTTTGCTTTGGTCCCTTAAGAAAAAAACGTTACATTATGGTCCACTAACTTATACTCTATTATGTATACTACTCCTTTCTGTTAGTATTAGTTGGGAAAACGTTAGAAATTGTATTGCTAGACTTTAAATGGATTAGATGGATATTCTGTAATTATTTTAATGGATGACGTGGATTTTGTATTACACATAACATTCATTTTAAGGAGATGAAACATATTATGGCATGATAACATTGTTGGATGAAAGCTCAGGTTCAGAGAGCAGCTACATTGTGAACAACAAACTTGTTTGAAAACGAAGTTCATTGAAGACGACGATGGCGATGTTTAAGACAACAAGAAAACTCTAAGGTACGACAACAATACTTATTTGAAGACGAAGTTCATTGCAGAAGAATGAAGAAGAAGGATTTCATTATTTCACTCGTCTGCACAAAAAACCCTAAGGTACAAACTTGCACAAATACAATTAAAAAAATGTTAAGTTTCTTCTATACCTAACTTACTTAGTACTTCTGGTACTATATGTAGGTTGATTAGATCATGGAGATTATGTTTAAGTGTGTTGTTCATCATTCTGGTGATTTTTCTAGAGAGTTTGCAAATTTTACCAAGTCAGGTTATGTAGGGTTAGAGGAGATATGGGATGTTGATCCTGATTATTGGAGTTACTTTGAAATATTTGATAAGTTAAGAGAGTTAGGTTACCCTACTATAGATAAGCTTTGGTATTATGATGATATGATTGCTAATGATATAGTTCAGTTAGAAAATGATAAGGGGACTGATAGAATGAGAACCATTATAGTGTTAACTGGGAATGTCACTTGCATGTTACACATCATGTATCTAAACCTGATGTTATTGAGAAGCTCATACTCTCACTATCACATGTGAGCATATTGGGTGAAGATATCTGTGGTGAAAGGCCTGATATGGTTAATAATCAGGATGGCACCACAATGGCTAAGGATGTGGTTGGTGAAGTATATGAAGGGGGAAGTAATGAAGGCGGGACCACACTGGGAGAAGATGTGGTGGAAGAGGGGTCAATAGTTGATGAAGTTGAGAATGTTGGAATTAACAAGACATTGGCATATAGAGCTAAAACACTAGCCTTTGATATTGTGGATGATTCTTTTAGAGAGCAGTATAGAAGAATTCATGATTATGGCCATGAACTATTGAGGGAAAACACAGGATCAACTGTGAAGATTATAAGTTAGCCACCAATTTAAGGGGAAAGCAGTGATAACTCTACTCAATTGAATCCTCACTTTCAGAGGATGTATGTTTGTCTCAAAGCATGCAAGGACAGTTTTTTCAAATGCAGGTCTACTATAGGATTTATAGGATTAAATGGTAGTTTCTTAAAGGGATATTATGGAGGAAAAATACTAGCTGCTATTGGTAGGGACCCAAATGACCAAATGCTTCCAATTGCATATGTTGTTGTCGAGAGTGAAACTAAAGACTCATGGAGCTAGTTTCTAGAGTTATTGATAGGTGATTTGGAAGGAGTCAGGTTGTGCAGAACCTATACCTTCATTAGTGATCTACAAAAGGTTAGGTTTTAAAGTCTCACCTTGAAATGTAATTGTTAGCCAATTATTTTATTTTCACCATCATTCTTACTTATTTATGGATGCAGGGTTTACTGCCAGCTCTTGATGAATTACTTGGTAATGTTGACCAGAGATTCAGTGTTAGGTAACATATTACTCTCACCTTGGTAATGTTTACTGCCAGCTCCTACATATTGAATATGACATACTTGGTTTAGTAACTTACATATTGAATATGACATACTTGGTTTAGTAACTTACATATTGAATATGACATACATGGTAATGTTTACACTTACTTTATATTGCAGACATTTGTATAGTAACTTCAAGAAAAAGTTCCCTGACTTGAAATTAAAGGAATTGACGTGGAGGGCTGCATGTGCAAGTTATGTTAACGCCTGGGAGAAAATAATGCTTGAAAGAAAAGGAGTTAATGAAGAGGCCTTCAAACACCTCATCAAAATTCCACCAAGATTCTGGAGCAAATCAAGGTTCCAGCCAAGTTCAGGTTGTGACACTTTGGTTAACAATATGTCAGAGGCCTTCAATTTTGTATTTGTGGTTGCTAGATCCAAGCGCATTGTGGCAATGCTGGAAGAAATTAGAGTATACATAATACAGAGATGGGAATCCAATAGGAAAAATATTACCAAATATGATGGCATCATACTACCTAACATCAAGAAGAGGATGGAAAGGGAGTCACAAAAAACCAATCATTGGATTGTGAGGTAACATTACTTTCAAATGGCTAACTATTTACATAGACTATCATTGTTAATGGTTACTTATTTATAGGCGTTCAAATGAATATGACTGACTATAAGGTGAGGCATACTTCACTCAATGAAGAAAAATGTGTTGCCAACCTTTACAAGAATGAAAGCTCATGTAGACTATGGATGCTGACTGGACTTCCTTGCTGTCATGCAATGTCTTGCATGAAAGATCAACATTTGGAGATTGATGGCTTTGTACCTGTCTGTTACAAGAAGGAGCAATATACTGCTTGCTATGCACATGTGATATATCCACTTAATAGGGAAGCCTTGTGGGCAAAGACTAGTGTTGTTGATCTTCAGCCACCACCAATAAAGAGGCAGTCTGGAAGGCCAAAGAAAAAAAGGAATAGGGAAGTTTGAGAGATGGTGAGGGATGAGACACACATGAAAAGGGAAAGACATGGTATAAAGTGTAGTCGTTGTCACAAAGATGGTTACAACAAGGCTACTTGTAAACTACCACAACCACAATAACCAACAAGTCAGCCACCAACACAAGCTAATTTAGGTCAGGTGCAAGATACGACAAGTCAGCAACCATCACAAGCTAATACAAGTTAACCACCACCACCTGCTGTAACAAGTCAGCTGTAACGCCCATTTTTAATTATCTAGTTTTTCTGTGTTATTTTAATTGCGGTGTGTTTCGTGGGGTTGTGTCGAGTGCGTGGAGGTGCCCTTAAGTTGGAGTTTAATTGATAACTTTGGACCTTAAGAATAATAATATAATTATTGATGATAATGATAATTTAATGAATAATAGTAATATTATTAATATTATTATTATTATTATTATTGTTATTATTATTAATATTATTATTATTATTAATAAGTTAGTGAGAAAAAAAGGGGTATTAGGGGCTGTTTGGGAAGGAGGAAAAATGACACGATCAAATTGGAGAAGGAAAGAAGAAGAGGAACACGGGGAAGTGAAGAGGAGATTCAAGGAGGAAGAAAGGGGGAGCTAGGATCATCGATTCTTCAAGAGTTTCTTCATCTGATCAAGTTATCGAGGTAAGGGGGAGAAGAATCGGTTAAAATTGGTATGTTGCATGAATACTAGGTAGAAAGGGGATTTCCCTAACCCCATAAATTTTGATGAATCTGTTGTTATGTTGTGATGATTCTGAATGCGTGATTATCTTGTTGATTCTGTTGCATGTGTTTGATGAATAATCGTTTGGTGATTTTGGGGATTTCGGGTAATTGTCGTGTTTATGCCGAGATTGAGTTAATTGAGTGAAGCTGAAGTTTTATCGGGCAAAATCGAGAATGGATTCTGTAGTTAAGTTGTAGATTATTGGTCTGATGTTGTGGGAACTGAGTTGGGTGGAATTGGTTGAGTTCGGAGAATTTTGCCGACTCTGGGCAGTATTTATTTTTCTGAAATCGCAGACGTTCACCAGCTGCTTCGCTGGGCGAGCGAGTAGCGAATCTTCACTAGGGATTCGCTGGGCGAACTGGGTAGCAAATGCTTCTAGTAGCCACTGTCTGGCTTCGCCAGGGAGTTCGCTGAGCGAGCATGTAGCGAGTGTTCGCTGATGCTTCGCCTAGTGAGTGAGCCAACGAGCATGACAGTATGTTGTGTTTTTATGTTGTTCTGTTCTGTACTATAGTGTTATTGGACCCTTGTTGGTCATGATTGATTATGGGAATGATGTTGATCTGTGGAGAGAGTATGTATGGGATTGGACGATGATTTCCTTGATTATTCGTGTGATTATAATATTTACATTGAGGTGTATCTTGTATGTATGATGAATGAATGTGGTGAAGTTCCGTTGCTTAATTATTGAAAATAGTTTAATGAAAATGTTTGGAGGAGTTTCTTCTGTGACATCCCGTTGTGTTTGTGATGACTCTGATATTTGTTTATTTTAATTGCATTTATTTTGTATTTGGGGAGCGGGGTGTTACAATTGGTATCAGAGCAGGTCGGTCCGTCCGACCAAGTTGTCTAATGTTGTTTGTTCCCTTGTATGCGACATGTGTGTGAAAACACTGTTGGTACATGTTTGTTGTCTAACCTTTGTCTGCAGAAGTGGGAATGATTCAAGTGGGGGAGAAGTTTGTGCTTCTCTCGGGTGCTGCAAGTATGGAGTGGTAGCTCGGTGTGGGGTTGAATGCTCTTATAGTTTGGTAAAGATGGTTCATACCCCATTACGATTTTCGGTTGTCTATTGGCAAATTGAGGAACTAATCACCCTTAATCTCTTGTTGATAGCAGTTGGAATTGTGTTGGGTGGGATGGACGTGTCTTGCAGGCTTTAATGGCGTGAGTAGTGAAGGGTCTGGAGTTCAGCTAGGTGTTTAAGAATTGTTTTGACGAGTCAGCTCAGGACAACGTTAAGGTGTTTGAATTTGGATGGGAATTTTGAGTATTGATGAAAGTGGGGAAGTTAGCGAATTGCCGATTATTTGTGGTTGTCTGAAGGCTATACTGATAAGACAGTGATATACAGCCAGGACGTGAAGTGGAGTTGTGATCAACTTAGTTGCAGAAGCTAGTCCGAGAATGGAAGCTCCATATTATATGTCTGTTGGATGGTCGAGGAATTAAACTGATTAAGTAGTATTGGGACTTGTGCCTAATATGTGCCAAGGCAACGAAGTGTGAGGCCGGGTATGTAAAGGGTGGACAGTGACTCCTGGTGGATGTTAAAGAAAGTAAGATGTAGAATGCAAGATTGGTATAATTATGCCTTTAAATATTCCAAGAGTTAAAGATGTGTTGAATGGTCTTCTAAGTGTGAAATTGTTGTCGTACGTCGAATTCCGAGATCGCAGCTTTTTACGGAATCAAAATCGGACACTCGGAAGTTAGGTAAAGGTGGAAAATAGGATTTTAGACTGTCATGTTCACCAGGTCCTTCGCCTAGCGAGCATGCTAGCGAACGGCTCCACGCTCGCTGCTGTGTTCGCCTAGCGAAGGGGTTCTGGGCATAAGAATGTAGTTTTGGTATTTTTGTCGTAACAGGAAGACCGTAACTCGGAATGACGCACGGTTTGAAGCGTTGGAAAGCTATTTCAGTGCTCTATGTGATGGTGAAGTAGTGGCATGGAATTAAGTTATTTATTAATGGAATATGTTTGGATGTTGTGGTAAGTGTGGAAGGTGCGGTCCGTGTTTCTGCCATAACTCGCAAATTGAATGTCCATTTGGCATGGGATTTTCCATACTTAGTTGAGTGAGTCAGTGGTTTTATGAACCGATGGTATTTTGATATATTCGAAGAGTATAGAGGATTATGTTGAGCATCGGGAACTTGAGTTATCGGTGTTGGAGAAGAAGCGGTGATATGCCTCTATGAAGAAAGTTCAAGGATGTTCATGTGTTGGGTTTTGCCGTATCCGATGGAGCTATTTGTTGTGTTTGGTGATTCTTTGTTGGTATGATTGGGAAGGTATATTAAGTGCAACTTCAGTGAGTTTTAGTTATGCTTTAAGGCAACTTAAAGTACATAAGAGGAATTATCGGACAAGTGGTTTAGAGTTGGTTGTTGTTGTCGTGTGTTGTGCCGGAGTTTGGAGACCTTAATTGTTTAGTGGATATATGAGATGCTTGGTGAACTTAAGAGCTTAAGGTATTTGTTTGATTTGAAAGAGTTGGATATGAGACAGAGGAAATAATTAGGACTTCTGGAGGAGTGTGGTTTTGGATTGAATTTCCATTCGGGCGAGACAACATGGTAGCTGATGTATCGATTTAGAGAATTTTTGGGTATATATCGATGATGATGGTAAAGGAGTTATCACTAATTGAGAAGATTCGAGATATGAGTTTGGTCCGTGAAGGGACTTCTTATGGAATTAAGCTTCGTATGTTGAGGCTGACTATGAGTAATCTTGATGAGAGTTGGGGAGTTGGAATTCTAATTTGAGTTAGTAGGCTTATTGAATTTAATGAATTAAGTCGAAGGGTTGATTTTCGGATTGATGGAAATGGTGACATGAGATGTTGTGATAGAGATGTGCTCCAGTATTGTGAGTTGGATAAGAGTACCCTGAGAGAAGGATATTAAGGTGGGTTGAGTACCCATCCAGGTGCTACGAAGATGTGGTCGAATGTGGGATGTTATTTTGGTGGCCATAGGTGGAGGAAGAGAGAGTTGAGATTATGTATGCTGATTAGACTTGTGGGAAGTCAAAGTTGGAACAACGGGAACTGTTGGGCCTGATGCAACTGTTGAATATTTCTGAATGGAGTAGAATAGTGGTTCCATAGAATTATGTGACGGGTTTTCTGGAGAATTTAAAAAGGGATATGATTTGATTTGAGTAGTTGGGAATGGATTGAAAAGATCAACTCATTTTTACCAATGAGGATGAATCATTCTATGCTGGAGGTAGCTAAGGTGTATAGTGAGGAAGTTGTGAAGTAATGTGAGGGGCCGTCGAATATTGTGTAAGATGGGAATCTGAGTTGCGATGAAATTTTGGGAGAGTGGCAGAAATTTTGAGTTCCATATTAAAGTTGAACTTTGTTTAGCATCCGTGGACGGATGGACAGATAGAGAGAGTTATCCCGTATGTAGAATATTTGGTGAGAGCTTGTGTGTTGGATCATGATGGATCGGGGGGCAGTTAATTGTTGTTGATTGAGTTACTTACAATAACCGCTACCATTCTAGTGTCGGAATGACATCATATGAGGTTTTGTATGGTAGTAGGAGGTGTGGGACTCCTTTATGCTGACGCGTGTCCGGAGAGAGGGTTGTACTCGGACCAGAAATTGTGCAAGGGGCGACTGAAAAGATCAAAAGGATCCAAGAAAAGACGTGTGTTAAGAGTTATGACGGTAACTAGGGTTGGTCAAGCTTTGAAGTCTCGGAGGCACTCATTATGTTTTGTTTATTTGTATCAGAGTGGCGCAGCGAAAGCATGAGGAAATTAGCATGTTAGACTGTTTTGCCGTTGTCGTTTGTGAAAGCTGCAGGGCATGTTCATGTGTCTAAGTCAAGGAGGTACTTTGATTGAATTGGATGGTGTGCAAGTGAGAGATAAAATTGATTGTTGAGGCACTTCTAGTGCGATTTGTTGAACGAGGACCGACTCTGAGGGAAGGAGATATCCTTGGTGAAAGTGGCTTGGGGATGGTGCTGCAGGAGGCAGTGTGACCTAGGAATTGGAAAGCATGATGCGGGAAGCGTATCCGGAATTGTTTCCATTAGGTAATTTTCGAGGACGAAAATAATTAAAGTGGGGGAGAGTTGTAACGCCCATTTTTAATTATCTAATTTTTCTGTGTTATTTTAATTGCGGTGTGTTTCGTGGGGTTGTGTCGAGTGCGTGGAGGTGCCCTTAAGTTGGAGTTTAATTGATAACTTTGGACCTTAAGAATAATAATATAATTATTGATGATAATGATAATTTAATGAATATTATTATTATTATTATTATTATTATTATTGTTGTTGTTGTTATTATTATTAATATTATTATTATTATTATTATTATTATTATTATTATTATTATAACTATTATTGTTATTATTATTAATATTATTATTAATTTAGTGAGAAAAAAAAAGGGGTATTAGGGGCTGTTTGGGAAGGAGGAAAAATGACACGATCAAATTGGAGAAGGAAAGAAGAAGAGGAACACGGGGAAGTTAAGAGAAATAGTGAAGAGGAGATTCAAGGAGGAAGAAAAGAGGAGCTAGGATCATTGATTCTTCAAGAGTTTCTTCATCTGATCAAGTTATCGAGGTAAGGGGGGGGAGAATCGGTTAAAATTGGTATGTTGCATGAATACTAGGTAGAAAGGGGATTTCCCTAACCCCATAGGTTTTGATGAATTTGTTGTTATGTTGTGATGATTCTGAATGCGTGATTATCTTGTTCATTCTGTTGCATGCGTTTGATGAATAATCGTTTGGTGATTTTGGGGATTTCGGGTAATTGTCGTGTTTATGCCGAGATTGAGTTAATTGAGTGGAGCTGAAGTTTTATTGGGCAAAATCGAGAATGGATTCTGTAGTTAAGTTGTAGATTATTGGTCTGATGTTGCGGGAACTGAGTTGGGTGGAATCGGTTGAGTTCGGAGAGTTTTGCCGACTCTGGGTAGTATTTATTTTTCTGAAATCGCAGACGTTCGCCAGCTGCTTCGCTGGGCGAGCGAGTAGCGAATCTTCGTTAGGGATTCATTGGGCAAACTGGGTAGCGAATGCTTCCAGTAGCCACTGTCTGGCTTCGCCAGGGAGTTTGCTGAGCAAGCATGTAGCGAGTGTTCGCTGATGCTTCGCCTAGCGAGTGAGCCAGCGAGCATGACAGTATGTTGTGTTTTGATGTTGTTTTGTTCTGTGCTATAGTGTTATTGGACCCTTGTTGGTCATGATTGATTACGGGAATGATGTTGATATGTGGAGAGAGTATGTATGGGATTGGACGATGATTTCCTTGATTATTCGTGTGATTATAATATTTACATTGAGGTGTATCTTGTATGTATGATGAATGAATGTGGTGAAGTGTGATATATATATATATATATATATATATATATATATATATATATATATATATATATATATATATATATATATATATATATATATATATATATATATATATATATATATATATATATATATATATATATATATATGAGGTATGATGAAATATGATCGGGTGGATCGTGGGCACTTTGTGTGCGTGGATTGTTGTTGTGTATTGATGTATGCATATTCATGATGCATGATTATATGTGCTCAGGGGGAGCATGGTAGGGATAGATCGTTGCTCGGGTGGAGTGTATGCGATCTATCCTGAGTTTGATTATATGTGCTCAGGGGAAGCATGGTAGGGATAGATCGATGCTCGGATGGAGTGTATGCGATCAATCCTGAGTGTGATTATATGTGCTCAGGGGGGGCATGGTAGGGATAGATCGTTGCTCGGATGGAGTGTATGCAATCTATCTTGAGATTGGTTGACGAACCATTGAGTCGGTACCGCATATCATGGGTTGAGTTGCATGTGTTTGCATTGTTGTATATGCTGTGTTGGTGTGGGACAGTGGGTCCGAGTCGATGTATGTGAATGATAATTATGTGATTTACTGCCTTTTATTCATGTACGTTTATACCGTTATATTTTGATCGTGATTTCTCACCCCTTTGCTTTTGTTGTGGTCTTTGCTTCTTCGGAAGTACAGATAATCCAGGTGTGTAGCTAGCTTGGATTGTGGTGAGTCGTGTCGTAGGGATGTTCTGATACGTAACACCGGGGCTTTGGGGAGTTTTATGTGTATTTGATGATTTTGTGTGCCCTTGTGGCGTATCATGTTTGATGAATCTTTTGGGTGAATATATCTTGTATATTTTGGGCGTTGGCCGTACATGGTGTATATGACGTTTATGTACATGATGTGAATATATGTACATGTGTCTATATGATAGACTTCTGCTGTTTAATTATTGAAAATAGTTTAATGAAAATGTTTGGAGGAGTTTCTTCTATGACATCCCGTTGTGTTTGTGATGACTCAGGTATTTGTTTATTTTAATTGCATTTATTTTGTATTTGGGGAGCGGGGTGTTACATCAACCACCATCACAAGCTGTTTCAAGCCAACCATGATCAATATTATTATGTCTACTAAAATTTTGTAATATCAATTAATGGTCCGACTCTTTTGTTTTTGTTAATGCATATTTTGGAATTAAACCTGTTATGTAATGCCTTATAATGACCTTTTGGTTTTGGACCTGTTATGTAATGACTTATAATGGCCTTTTAGTTTTTGAACCTGTTATGTAATGCCTTATAATGGTATTTTGTTATTGAACATGTTATGTACCAAATATTGAATCTGTTAATGAATGTTGGAATGGTTATTGAACATGTTATGTATCAAACTTTAAATCTGTTATTAAACTTATTATGTATCAAACTTTGAATCTGTTAATGAATGTTTGAACAAGTTATATTACAGTTTTTTTCACAAATATTGGTCATTGGGCTGCATATTTTACAGGTTGGATATTGAGATATTATTCAATGAAAATGTAAAAATGTAACACAAACATTATTCATTGAAACAACATAACAATATATTATTTATTAAACAAACTCATCAATTTTTTACAAACACAAGGTTCAACCCTAGAACTACCAACATGAAAACATAACTTTGAACTACCCTAAAACTAATTGAGATACATTGTTACAAACACAAGGTTTAACCCTAAGCTTACAATCTCAACAACGGTGGACATTTTGAGCCACCCTCGAGTGTACATAACTTTATTCTTCAATGTGTTAATTTTCTTCTTTTGTCTTTCAAGCTTCAAATCTCTGTCATCAACAAACTCATCACCCAACCACTTGAAGAAATTACAACCTTTTTCAATGTGGTTTATGTAATTTCTACAACCCCATAATTTTTTTCCTTTGTTGACACTGTTCACATCATTCACTGTTCTAAGAACACTTTCATCTTGGCAAAAGCACTCGATCCTCTTGTTTCTATGAATCAAAGATCCAGATGTACCATAACTATGGTTGTTTGAAGTTGAGGCATTACTTGCACTCTTTGACATTACTTGAACCCTAATTCCCAAATTGTAGAAGAAAATGGAAGATGGTAGAAGGAAAATGGAAGAAATGGATTTAACCCTGATTTGAAGATGAAGATGGAAGAGGTTGAAATATGGAACACGACTGAAGAATGACGGAAGAAAAATGAAGCAACAAGAATGAAATATGGAACCCTATGTAACGCAACGTATACATATGCTGACGTGGAATCATAAATTGGCTTACTTGGCATGCCACCTCACACAAACTAACGTTTTTTTGACACAAACTAACGGAAGAAACCAAAATGTTTAACAAAACTTAAATTAAAGGATCATTAAGTAGCGTTTTTTAGTTCAAGGACCAAAGCGAAACTTGACTCAAAGTTAAGGGACCCAATGACTAATTATGCCTTATTATTATTGTAATCATCACTTGAGAAAATGTAGGATTCTTCGCTATTAAAGTGAATGAGAAACTCTAAATTTTCCCCTTAGAAAGAAATGCTAATAACACTCTCTTTTTAACACCCATTCTCTTATTGGTTGAAATATGTGTGAGTCCTACCACTTTATGTGAGATTTATTTACAAAGTGAGGGACCCCACACATCTTTCAACCAATAAAAAAAAATGAGTATTTGAAAAAGGCTTGAAAAGAGAGTGTTGCTAGCATTGTTCTCCTCTTAGATAGCAAATATATAAACCTTTCCAAATGACGAAAATGCCCTTTAATTTTAAAAAATAGTCTTAATATTAAAACAAATTAGATGACAACAAGAATAGAAAGCAAGAAAAGAGAGCGTTCGCTGATTCTCTCTAATGAAACACCTCACGTACTTGTCAGCTCTATCTCAACTCACGTGTTTCCATTCCTGCGTCCACGCCACTCTTCACTCCCACCTCTCTCGCCAAAAACACAGAAACGATACAACTCAACAAAACTGAGAAAGAAATGTCTTTGACTCTCAGTCTCACCATTACAACACCGCGTTTCCCGCAACTACAACACCGGACCTCATCGCCCATTCTCAAATTCAAACCCAATTCACCACTTTCCATCACTCGTGCTTCTTCCTCTATGTCCACCACATCCTTATCTCACCTCAGCGTCGACGAAGACTTACCGCCAAATTACGGAGACTGGCTTCCTAAACCCGAAATTCACCTCCGTAGAAGAGCCGGTATTCTTCTCCATCCGACGTCGTTTCAAAGTCCATACGGAATCGGCGATCTTGGAATTGAGGCATTTCGTTTCATTGACTGGCTTCACCGAACCGGTTGCTCCCTTTGGCAGGTTCTTCCTCTTGTGCCTCCGGGAAGAAAGGCTAACGAAGAAGGATCTCCTTACTCAGGCCAGGTTATTGATTTTGCTATAGAATCGTTTAATGTTATCGAGTTTCAACTCTTTAAGGCAATGCGGTTTTGAATTTTGGTTTTCAGGATGCGAATTGTGGTAACACGCTTTTGATTTCTCTTGAAGAGCTTGTTGAGGATGGATTGTTGGAGAAACACGAGCTTCCCGAACCAATGTGAGAGTTTTTTATTTTATTTATAAGCGATTTAGTTTTGAATTATTTTCTTTTTGTTGTTCATGGTTTGTTCATCTTATAGTTTTTATTAAATGAATGCAGTGACGCAGAGCGTGTGAATTTTTCGGTTGTTGCTAATCTTAAGGATCCTTTGATAACTAAAGTAAGACCTTAGAAGCATGGTTATTGCTAATGTAATAAGGGGTTAAAATTGGCTGAACCATGCATTGAATTGAATATTTTTTTATCCCTGAACATGTATGTAGTTTTTGCTTGAGTAATAATCTACAGATACGATTTTATTTTCTTGGAAAAGTTTAGTTTCATAACGGTGAATTGCATTAGACTGCAAGTGCTCTATGGTTAGCCTGATCCTAGAGGTTTCTTTGCAGTCTTTTGAGATTCTTCCTTTTATCATACATTCATACTATAGCATTACCTTATTTTCTTTACATCATTGAACTTTTCAATGCTTGGGTGCATATGGCATTTTATGTTAATTTTCCTCAGGCTGCAGAGAGGCTTATTTCAAGCAAAGGGGAACTCAAAACACAGCTTGAAAATTTTCGCAGGGATCCTAACATTTCAAGTGAGACACTCATTTAGTTGCTATTTTAATTTTATACCCATGTTTCATGTTAGCTTCAATGTTTCACTTTAGTGACAGCCACTTATAAATAAAGTTGATTTATCTACTATGTGAATGCATTGTAAAGTTGATTTATTTCACATGTGAATGCATTGTAAAGTTGATTTGAAAAGCATCCTTGATCATGTTTTGTTACATTTCTCTCAATTAATTTTTCATTTATCTAAAATTATTGGCAAAATACCCTTTTTGGTCCCGTATCTTAACCTCGGGGTTCATTTTGGTCCCTTAATTTTAAAAAGGTCCATATTGGTTTCTTAACTCTTCAAAACGTTCCATATTAGTCATTTTTATCCTATTAGCGACGGAAAAATTCAAAAATCAGTGTCTAAATAGTCAAAAGGTACTAATTTGGAACGTTTTGAAGAGTTAAAGACCAATATGGACCTTTTAAAAGTTAAGGGATCAAAATGAACTTCTCGAGGTTAGGATATGGAACTAAAAAGTGTATTAAGCCAAAATTATTCAATTGGACAATACCAATTCATAGAAACTTTCTCTGATTGGAAAATTCAATTAAACACAATGCAATTACATTTAGAAACTCTCCATTTCTGATCTATGATCGAGCCAAGGCAATCAATTCAAGCTAGAAACAAGCTAATAATTGAAAATGTGTGAGAATTTCTAACTGATGCTTGCAATGTGAAGATAATTTAAGGGTTCTAGGATTATGTGATGCAGAGGTTCGATAGAAAGAATCCTTAGGATTTGTAATTGTCATGAGTAAAATACTGAGGGAACAGAAGACTTGAACATTAAGAATTTGTTTGGCATTTCTTTCATAGGAGGATGCATCGGGCTGAACATCGGGTAGGGATCCTCTCCATTCTTCAGAAGGAATGAAGGTCTTCATTACTCTAATTTAGGGTGTACAAAGAACACATTTCTAGAACTTGTGAGTTGTGTCACAATTAAGTTATACACCCAAAATCATAGTAATGGAGCTTTTAATTTCTTTTGAGAAATAGGTAGGATTTCTTTACTCTTGAGCATTGCCTACATTCTTTTTTATCAAGTGAGGTTTGTTAAAACAACTCATTTGGGAATTATCTTTTGTCAAGAAGTAATATCTTTTAACATTGTAGGTTGGCTTGAAGATGCAGCTTATTTTGCTGCTATTGATGACAGTTTGAACACACTCAGTTGGTACGATTGGCCCGAACCCTTAAAAAACCGCCATCTTGTAGCTCTAGAAGATATTTATGAACAAAAGCGAGATTTTGTAAGATCATAAAGAATTCTGTTTGCTATAATTATTAATAATTTCTCGTTTTATGCCCTGCTTATAGGAAGAAGTGTTCTTGATGTATCATTTATATTCTTTCATGCAGATAAATGTATTTATTGCGCAACAGTTCTTGTTCCAAAGACAATGGCAGAAAGTTCGCGACTACGCACAAAGTAGGGGAATCAGAATAATGGGAGACATGCCCATTTATGTTGGTTATCACAGTGCAGATGTTTGGGCAAATAAGAATCAGTTTGCACTGGTTAGTTGTCTCCAATGAATATGTTTCGGAAGTATGAAGTCTAATGGAGTATTTTGTAACTTTTGATAATAAATCATCTCCACTTATTTATCTGACAGAACAAGAAAGGCTTTCCGCTTTTAGTCAGTGGTGTGCCTCCTGATGCATTCAGCGAAACTGGTCAGCTGTGGGGAAGGTTCGATGCTAATTGCATGATAAACGTTTAGCCATAAGTCTTAATTTTCCATGTTCTTTATTCAATTCTTGTCCTGATCTCAACATAAAATGATTTTTCCCTTAAAGGTATCTATCTGCTCATTTTGTAATCATGACCAGCATGAGTCTCCCCTGTCCCCTGATATGTCTCATTTGAGTTGCTTTCATCTTTCTGTGCTTTATTATCTTGCTTATAAGCCCACTTTCAGCATTTTCCCTTGGGTTTTCAACATTTACACACTGTAGAAGGCTTCTCTCTCGTTCAAATTACTGATTTCTTATTTTGAACATTTTCACGTTTAAATGAAAAAAAGCCCCCTGTATGATTGGAAAGCCATGGAGAAAGAGGGGTACTCATGGTGGATACGTCGCATACGACGTGCTCAAGATATATATGACGAATTTAGAATTGACCATTTTAGAGGATTAGCTGGATACTGGGCTGTTCCCTCTGGTGAGTCTACACTGAGTTTATTTCACCTTTTTTACTCGATGTGTTGTTTGTGTAACATGTGTAATTTGTATGAATATGCAGAAGCGAAAATAGCTATGGTTGGAAAGTGGAAGGTCAGGTCCTGTCATTTTGTTCTATCTTTGATCTATTGGATCAAACTATTAAAAGCTTCATATTTAAATGATTCATAGGTAGGACCTGGAACATCCTTCTTTGATGCCATTTCCAAAGCTGTTGGAAGGATTAATATCACAGCAGAAGACCTGGTACGTATTATCGAAACAAAGCTATAAATTTTACCATATTGCTTCATCAGTCTCGTGAGGGCCATCCTTTAACTCTTTCCGGACCACCGCTTAATTTTTTGGGTTCTTAAAAATCTATGGCAGGGAGTTATCACTGAGGATGTAGTGCAACTACGGAAATCCATAGGAGCCCCTGGAATGGCCGTCCTCCAGTTTGGTAATGATTAATTGCTAATTTTGTTTACCATCCAAACTATCATACTCTAAAGTGATCTCAATTATGAGAGCCTGAACATTTTCTTATGATCATTGTTACTCTGTCCAGCGTTTGGAGGTGGTCCTGATAACCCTCATTTGCCTCATAATCACGAGTGCAATCAAGTTGTCTATACAGGGACTCATGACAATGACACGGTAAGGATTTATTCTGCTCTGCATTTGCTGATGTTTCATGTATCTTCTTAGAAAGGACCTGGGCATGCTCTGTAGATGTGTGCTACCAACATGTTAGCTTATAATATTTTAGTTGTTTTATTTCCATACTTTTATCACCGTCTTTAATAATTTTTCCTGTCAATGATAATAAATCTTTGACGACAGATGTGTTTCCCCTACAGATTAAGGGTTGGTGGGAAGCTTTAAACCAAGAAGAGAAATCGCATGTGGGTGGCATAGCCGATATGTGGTAGTGAAGTGTTATTGCTTAATCAAGTTGGATGAGTAAATCACCTTCTTTATTTTCATATTTCAGGTATTAAGTTATATTTCATTAACCGAGCAAGATGATATTCCTTGGGCACTAATCCAGACAGCGGTGGCCTCTGTTGCTCAAACAGCAATAATACCTATGCAAGATGTTCTTGGACTCGGGAATTCTGCCAGGATGAATATTCCTGCAACTCAGGTAAAAGTTCAGGCATAGTTTTCATAGTTCGTTCTAGCAACAATAGCTTACTTGAGCGTAACTAAGAAAATCAATTGTTAATCTCATGACCGATGCAGTTTGGAAACTGGGGATGGAGGGTTCCAAAATCTGTGAACTTTGACAGGTTAGACACAGAGGCAACAAGATTAAAAGATATGCTTTCATTGTATGGCCGGGTTTGAGATGTGAAATCCCTTTTTAAGTGTACAAAGAAGAAGAGTTTTCCATGCAACGGGAGCTTATTTGGAAAATGTGTAAGCCTAGTGTTGTTCAAGAATTTTAATAAAGTTGGATGCTTTTGTAACCTTTTGGTGATCCTGACAGTTCACTTAAAAAAGCAATTATGATACATTTGTAATATGACTTGTACGAGGATTAATATTCCCAAATAAATGTATGATTGTGTATGTATGTGTTGTGATTAAGAAGACAAAAAACCTGTGTATGTCTGTGTTGTGAGTAAGAAGACAAAAAACCAGTTAAAGGCATGAACAAATACATTATGTTATTATGTAGATAGGCAAAAATAGGTTGGCTTTTGTAGTGTAAATGTAAAAATGTGGAAAAATATAAAAATGTGGAAAAATAAATAGGCAAAAATAGGTTGGCTTTTGTAGTGTAAATGTAAAAAGACAAAAAACCTGTGTATGTCTGTGTTGTGAGTAAGAAGACAAAAAACCAGTTAAAGGCATGAACAAATACATTATGTTATTATGTAGATAGGCAAAAATAGGTTGGCTTTTGTAGTGTAAATGTAAAAATGTGGAAAAGGCAAAAATAGGTTGGCTTTTGTAGTGTAAATGTAAAAATGTGGAAAAATAAATTTGAGAGTGGGATTTGAACCCACGCCCTTTCAGGGCAGAACCTTAATCTGGCGCCAGATTAGACCAACTCGACCATCTCAACTTAATGTTTAAATTTAAACAACAATATTATTATACAATAACAGTACTGCAAAACAAGTAAAGAATGTAGTTATAGGTAGAAGCCAAAAGACAAAGGAGAAGGTAAGGTATGAAGAACCTGAACCTGATTCCGTTTCTTCCCGACGATGTTGCTGTGAACTGTCTAGTACGTGTTCCACGCTCTCAACACACAACACTCTCTCTTGTTTCCAAATCATTCCGTTCTCTCCTCTCTTCTCCACTCTTCTTCACAGCTCGCTCTCTCCTTCATTCCACCCAACATATCCTCTACCTCTCTATTCGTACACGCGCCTCCACTCTCCAATGGTTCACGCTCCACAACAACAAACACCTCATTCCACTTCCTCCTCTCCCTTCCCCCGTAATCGGCTCTGCCTACGCAGTCATCGGACATGCAATTTACGTCATTGGCGGTTCAATCAACGATATCCCCTCCCGTCATGTATGGATCCTCGATTGCCGCTTCCACCGCTGGCTTCCCGGTCCTTCCATGCGCGTCTCACGTGAGTTCGCTGCTGCTGGCGTTGTTGACGGCAAAATTTACGTCATCGGCGGTTGTGTTCCTGATAATTGGTCTAGGTCAGCTAATTGGGCGGAGGTATTCGATCCTGTTACCAACAGCTGGGAAGGCGTTCCAAGCCCGCCGGAGATTCGGGAGAAGTGGATGCACGCCAGCGCTGTTGTGGACGGTAAGATTTACGCCATGGCTGACCGCGGTGGTGTTTCACTTGATCCTTGTAGCGCCAGCGGTGTGTGGGAGAGTGTGGGGGGTGAACTTGACCTAGGGTGGCGTGGGAGAGCGTGCGTTGTGAATGGGATTCTGTATTGCTATGATTACTTGGGGAAAATTAAAGGTTTCGATGTTAAAAAAGGGTTGTGGAAGGAATTGAAGGGTTTGGATAAGGCTTTACCGAGGTTTCTTTGTGGGGCAACAATGGCTGATGTTGGTGGAAAATTGGTTGTGGTTTGGGAGTGCCAAGGGAATGCTAATGGAAAGGGGAAAGAAATGGAGATTTGGTGCGCTGAGATTGATGTGAACAAGAACGAAGATGGGGAATTGTGGGGTGAAGTTTGTTGGTTGAACAATGTTCTTTCTGTTCCAAAGGGATCCTCCATTGTCCATTGTTCTTCTGTTGCCTTGTGATTATTGTGCCTCATCAGGTATTCAAATCTTGTTTTCTTCCTCATTAATTATCCGTTCATGTTGAATTAGTTAAATCAAATGTACAAATGGAAGGGGTCAACTGGTGCTATAAACCTTTTTTCTGCTTCTCACTTGTTAGAGATCATAGGTTACTTGTAGATTAAGCAACTGATCCTGTGGCAATTGAAAAACTTTGTGAGTTGCTTATTTCATTAGAACAGACATGTTGTGTTATGATTTTGCAGGATAAAGACTTGGTATTGAGGAGTTACCATGAGTCATAACTTTTCAATGTGTTGCTTTCAAATTTCAATATATTCCTTCATTCTTTTGATGGGGGTGGGTTCAACATTAAAATTACAATATTGATCACCCTTTCAAAACATGTTGGTTAACACGACTTGACAAGGTTTCAGCTTGATTAAATACAAAAAAGGTAGCTACTAGCTAGTTCAAGCCTTTTAATTGTGACTAGGATGGAAATGATGAAACAGGTTTTGGGGAAATTTTCATAGTGAATTGTGTTTGACTTCTGATTGGTATATATACCCTCTGACCACTACTATAAGCAAATATTCTTTTTTTCAGGTTCATTGAATAACTGATTTAGAAATACTTCTTCTGCCATTTCATATAAGACGGAGATGTAAGTTCGGCAAAAGGAGAAACATTTCTATCATATAGGTGAAAGTTGGAGACCATATCATTCCACAAGTCAGGCGGTTTAAATATCTTGGATCAAACAGTTATTCAATGAACAGTAAAAAAAGAATATTTGCTTATAATAGTGACTAGAGGGTGTAGCTTTTATGGCCGACAGTTATCTTCACAAGTTCTGCATATTACGTTTTTGATATCTGTTCAAATGATATCTGTTCTAATTTTAAGAAGTTATACTAGCTTTTCCTCTCCCCTTGTAGGCAACAAGTATTGATTTATATGTTATGTTATGCTTGTGGTGAAATTATTATTATTATTTTTTTTTTTTCAGGTCACCAGTTTCTACCTACACATGTCCTGCAGGATCAAGATCCTCAAACGTCTGGTGGTAACACTAAATTTCTCCTTCTTGGTCTTGCAAATTCTTTCTAGTTTGATCGGATGTAATTTATTGCTCCACTGGTGTATGGATAACCAGGAGCTGTAATGTTTGTATGTACAGTTTTGCACTTTCATAGTTACGTGTTCCCGATATTTGCGCTGTGTTTCCTTGCCAATCTGGCAATCCATATGTTTCATATAGTTAGTAAATGACGAGGTTTAACTAATTGCCGCATCGTGGGAAATGTGAGCTTATGAGTTATCAAAACTGCTGGTGTGTGTTCAGTTGCAAGTTATGCACATGACTTATATATTTGTGTCATCTTTACTTGTTAGTGAATGTTGGCAATGTAGGACATGGAAACACTAGGATGACTTTAGTATTTTGTAACTCTGTCTCTATCTCTCATCAAAATAATTTATTTTATTCATTCATACATCTTTCAATTACACTAATGTCACCAAAACCACTGGATGTCAAAGTCAACCCAATTACAAGGCAATGCTCTATCCACATTTTCACTCGCATATTTTCAGTCATCTTAAATTGCAGTACCAGAATCGTACAAGTGTGGAAGGTATCGTAGTAAGTAAACGCATTATAGAAATGTTTGAAATGTTTAGGACTAATGCTATGGCGTGTGAAGATGAAATTAAGATTGAAAAGAGAGTATCGATTACTTTTTAGAAGTACACTAAGGTAGAACTAGACCAAAATATTATTGAAGCTATAATAATTTGACGCAAACAAAATGTTTAAATACGAAAAGATAAAATAAAAGTTTAATTATAATTGTGTTCTCTTTATTATTATTATTATTATTATTTTGAAATTTTGGTCATTTCATTTTGAAATATGATTTTTCCGTTTCATTTTGTTTTCCATCTCCTTTTAGTGTAACTTTTTATTACATAACTAGTAGAAGACCTGTGCGTCTGCACGGATAATTTCATTCATATTTTAGATCATTCGATAAGATTTGGTTGTTAATGACGATAAATACAATATGTCTAATAACTATAAATATTTATAAATATCATTAATAATTATAAATATTTTTAAATATTTTTTTGATTAAAATAAAAAAGATATTGTGGTGATTAACATCAGATTGCATGTTGCCAATACATGTATCAAAATATTTTCATTATTTATCTATAACAGAATACTGAATAAGAACATGTTGCCAAAAAATGTATCACATAAACATACATCGAATTTGAAAGCTACATTATATTTACTGGTGTTTTTAATCCTGACAATACTCTTAACCTGTTTTCCTGGATTATTTACATATGACAGTAAAGAAAGAAGAGATGAATTAAGTAATACAAAAGATGAATTAAGTAATACAAAGATAAAATATATTACCAATCCTATAGAGAAGTACCAGACTAAGGAATCTAAAAAACCTGAGTTTGCATATGTATTTCTGTCTCCCGAACTAAAATTAAAGGTTATGCATTCTTTTCCGAACTTCCAGGTTTGAAACATTTAAGAAGTATGTGCAGGTACTTAAATACACCATTTATAATCCATATAGTGATACTCACTTATAGAGAACAAACATTTAAGAAGCATGTCCAGGTACTTAAATACACCATTTATAATCCATGTAGTGATACTCACTTATAGAGAAACAATTTGTACTTTGGATGAACTCTCACTAAATTGATTCAATAAACTACCTAGTGAAGAACTGTGTCTCCACGCCTAAGAGCTGTCATATCTCTAGTTAGGACAATAACACTCATCTGAATCATTGCTTCAAGGACCTGCATAAATGCATAAGCTTCATTTGATAATAAACTTAGATTGAGAAAATGGAATTTCATGCTAGAGTATTCATGACAACTGAATAATTATGGAAGACAATATATTCTTGCTTAATATTATCAATTAGAATAGCTCCTGTTTTGAAAACTGAATAATTATGTAGATAGCAACAGAGGAAAAATATCCTATCCCAAAAGCAAGTTCGGAAAAAGCTTGACAGGATACAGTAGTATCAGTTGATATACCTTAATCTATGAAAAAGAACAAACCTTTAAGAATTATTGGAAGGGCTGC